AACTAGCAACCCAATTTGCATTTTCCACTCATAATTCGCATTCGCGACATGACATTTTAAATGTTAGAGATCGTGCCAAATGATTRCTTACATTTACCGTTGCATCGGCAGACAGGTTGTCCCTGTGCTGTCACTCAAAACTAAATAGTATATTTATAATTATTTTACATTCGTGTGTTTTCCTTATTGTCTTCTTGCCTTGCCTTGCCTTGTTTGTTTCTTATCATTCGTTAATTGAGCGGCGTTGCCACCTTGTCTAAATTCGAGCAGATTTATTGCATGTAAATATCGATACTTATTGCTGCATTGTCTAATTGGGATATTTTGGAGGCCATTCTTGTTGCTCGTGGGCTAGAATTGTTTGCTTTACATGCCAATATCTGTGAGAATTTTGTTTGTTTATAACGAATGTAAACAATAGATATATGAACTTGCACACGGTCAGAAGTTAACAATTGTCGGTAGTGTCAATAAATGCATACATATGCCAAGCAAATGTTTACAACAATTTCCCATATGCAATTTGCATATATCGAACTATTATCGAATTAGCAGCAATTGAGCTACAGCCGACTAATTAAGGCAAAAGCAAGAAGATGCCTGCCAATTGAGTCATGTCAGATGATTTATTTATGTCACAGCGCTTGATAAATTATTCGCCAGCACGTAAATGCTGCACATTTTGGCAACTATTAGGATAGGCCGGCAATTGGAGCGTGGGATTTGAATATTCGCACCACTGTAGAAGTCGCGTCATTGCAAAAATAGAATAGAAATCGTTCACAGTGGTCAAATCCGAGTGAAGAATCATGTGACGACAACAGAAACGAAATAGAAACACTATTTCATGAGACATGTGCACATCAAAGGCCAACGAGAGACTTCTGTTTTACCTCAAAGTACAAAAAAGAACAAAAGAAGCAAGGTGGACTGATAYCMCTATATAGTGATCGACTAGCGTATACTCTGTACTTATACAAAATAAACAGAGAGATGACTACATCGCTTAAAAAAATAATTTGTTCTAGTGAATACATATTTCTTGGGGGAGTCCCTAAAAAATAATATAATTACATTTTAAATTTAGCACCGCTTGCATATGAAAATATGAGTGATTCGACATACTTTCTGTAAAACAAGTGCATACATATAAATTTAAAAAAAAAAAAAATGGAATAATATATTATA